CCTGCTTCTGCCTCTCCCACTCCCCCTGCTTGTGTTCCCTCTCTCGCTGTGTCTCTCTCTGTCAAATAAATAAAATCTTAAAAAAAAAAACAAAAAAAACTATAAAATGCTCTGGGGTTATTAGTCCATGGAAGAATGATGTGGGTCTTTCAGGCAGGTTTTGAAGGATCTGTTGGGTCATCATGTGAGCAGGACTCACCATTAGTAATTACCAGTCATTTCATAGTACATATCAACTGTTGTGGAAATGCAGAATTCATGCTATAACTTTTTCAGGTGGCTACTTGGGATTAGAGCCCGAATGCCCACTAAATTAAATTTAAGCTTTGGAAACATGCATTTGTACAGACAGTTTAACAAATGTCTAGATAACCATCCGTTCTCGTTATCCTTTGAAGGTACCTGTCATCATTTGAGTCTTAGGTACCCAAATGTAGAGAATCTGTGTTAAGAGAGGCTAGGGAACAGGGAAACCAGCTGTTGATTTACTTTTATATTTAAAACTGCTTTCTAACTTAACATAGCAAACACTGTCATCCACAGAGATGTTGGGAGATGTGATTTGTTTCAGGACTGCCTCGATGTAAAGGACGTATCATTCAGTTACACAATGAGAGGACAAATTTGTGTTCTTTACTTGATCAGAACTACTTCTGCAGTAGAAATGGAGATGGGATGCTTTATTTTGATATGTAACAAAAATCCTGTGACAAGTACACTTTAGTCAAATTTTTAATTTCAAATTAGAGAAATTTTCTAGACAGTATGAAGACTTAGCAATAATAATAATAATGATGCTAAAATGAAAAGTAGAAATGCATTTAGGATAATTTAAAAGAAAAAATTTGGCTAACGTTAAGTATGATGAACTATTACAATTTCATATACAATAATTCCGTATTTTAACATAATAATATTAAATACTAATAAATCAGTCCTCTACTTGTTTGAATTTATGTTTGTAAAGAACATTAAGAACCTTCCTGTAATTTGTTCTAAACAATATTTTAACAAAAGTGTCTGAAACTGGGTAAGGCTTAGAGCTTTTTGAAGATTTTGTGGGTGAGGGTGGTGGTGTTGAATCTACCTCTCAACACATTGTAAACATTTTCAAGAGTGTTTAATCAAAGTCATCAAATTTGAATTCTTCTGTAAACCAGTGAAGTAGTCTTCGCCACCAGTGTCAAGTGTGTATTTCCACTTCCAGGTAGACATAGCTGACATTGAGAACGAAGAGAACCGCCACGCTCTCTTCACGGAACTCTTGGAATCCAGTCGCCAGGAGGTGGAATTTCAGCACTTGGTTCTGCTCTTGCAAGCTTGGCCACCTATGAGACATGACTCTGTGTAAGTGTTAATATAAAATTAGATTTCTCTTGTTTGCTCTTGAGTTTTAAAAATTCAGTACCTTCAAAAGAACCAATGAAAAGAAATACGTAAAACCAGTATCAGCCTTTAGCGGAAATTAAAATTATTTATTTGAAATATTGCAGTTTCTTTCCCATTTCTCCTTGCCCCTACATGCAAATCTTTTACTCAGAAATACCAGATCATGCTTAGTAATAACATCTGATTTGGGGGCACCTGGTGGCTCAGTAGTTAAGCATCTGCCTTCGGCTCAGGTCATGATCCCAGGGTCCCGGGATGGAGCCCCGCATCAGGCTCCCTGCTCAGCGGGAAGCCTGCTTCTCCCTCTGCCTGCAGCTTCCCCTGCTTGTGCTCTTTCTCTCTCTCTCTCACAAATAAAAAAATCTTTTAGTTCTCTCCAAGGGGGCAGGGAATCAGTTTCTAACCAGCCCCTCTGTGATGATATTATGCAGTAGATGCGGGACCCACTAATTAGATTGTCAGTTATGCTTTGCTTTTTTAGCAAAGGGTTTAGGGTTGCGTTGTAGGTTTTCTCATGCCCTCAAAATGGCTCTCTCAGTCTAAAGAGAATTTTTCAAAATCATAGTACAACCTCCTCTAGTACGTTAGTTTACTGTGGTTTTACAGTTTCTTGTACTTTTAGAACAATGACCGTTTCAAATCACTCGCTTACCCACAAGAAGTAAAATCAGCTTCACTTAAGACATTTATTGCATTTTAAACATTTAATGCATTTGCAGGTATTAAAAATCTTAGTTTTTAAAGGTACATTCTTTCTTTTGTAGCTAGTATGAAGTGAAATTTGTAAATTGCTAACCTGTGTTTTAAAAACCTCCTTTATGAAATCATTAGAATCAAAACAAAGCATTACCGGTCCACTTAACCCCTCTTACCAGCCATGTCTCCAATCCAAGAGGGGACCTGAGGGTAAGTCAAATAAAGTCTATTTCGGCTTTTTTCCTGGCCCAAATTGGTGTTTTACCACAAAAGACTCTATGATGGGATACTTTAGAAATAGGTTCTTAAAAGTGCTTTTGAGTACCTTTTTTTGGTTGGCAGATCATCCAATGTATGACTTCAGTACTTCCAGAATAATGCCCCCCAAAAAGGGGGGGAGGGGAGAAAGACCAGGAAAGGCAGGAGGAAGTGTTGAATAGTGTGACAGTGATTAAATGTTGCCAATTAATATAATAAAGTTAAAAAACTAAGAAATTTGCTTGATCTACATGACTGCTCATTTACTAGAACCAACTTAGGTTTTTTAGCTTTATTCCCTTGTAGGAAAATGCATGAAAAGCATAATAGATTCGTACTTATGGGAGACTTATAATTCTCATCCAGTGTATCAAAACTGGCTGGTGAAAAATATGTTTAGATAATTGTCGTCGAAGCCGCAGGGCCCATCGGGGGTGCACTGTTTGGCAGGCTGGTACCTCCTCTGCACTGAGGCAGGTCCTTAGCGAAAGCCCAGGGGAGTGGAATTCAGACTTTGAAAGAGAAGAGCAGAGGGTGAGTCCTTGAGTGTAAGAAGACTCCCCAGTCCACCAGACCCTCTCAGAGCTTTGCTCGTACCTTGAAATAAGCAGTGTTCTTTGTCCTCACACAGTGTTAGTTTGAGCTGAGACACAAAAGCTTTGCCAAAGGCTAGTATTGTGAGTCCCTTTGTCATTGTCACACTTGACATTTTTCTTAGGGGGCAAGGAGTGAAGTCCTTTCAAGGGAAGAACCACCTTAGGTGTTGAGTGTCTAGAATCTAGAGCTGTGCTAAGAGAACAGACTCTTACAAATAGTAAAATTATTTTAAAAACACTATAAGTAAAATTGGTAACCTGTTCCTGGGGCCAGGGTATGAATGTGCCTTTAACTTGTCTCTGGAAATGTAAATTGTGAGGTTTGCATGAAACACGGGGTGGTGACATCCAGAGAAGGGAAACAAAAAGCAACTTTTGTATGCTTTTATGTTTTAGAAATAAGGAAACTGGGGATGCCTGGGTGGCTCAGTTGGTTAAGTTGCTGCTTTTGGCTCAGGTCATGATCCTGGGGTCCTAGGATGGAGCCCCGCACTGGGCTGCCTGCTCAGCGGGAAGCCTGCTCCTTCTGCCCCTCTCCCTGCCTGTGCTCTCTCACTCTCTGACAAATAAATAAATAAAATCTTAAAAAAAAAAAAAAGAAAAGAGAGAAAGAAAGAAGGAAACTGTATGAAGGGCACGGTGTGATCATGTGCTTCCAGGCTGACTTCCACGGAGTACTGCCCTTACTGTCCTTCACTCCTGCCCTGGCCCCCGAGGCCTCATCCTCATCAGAGGATCAACAAAAGCCAGTATTTAGGTGGTAAATAGTGAGATGTGCCTGCTGTTGAGAAGGCACAGTTACAAACATCATTCATCGAATAAAGCAGTTGTGTAAGGAGAACATTAAATTGCTTTCTCAGAATGAGAAAAACTGAGGCCCAGAGAGGCTGAGTGGCTTCCCCGGCACTGAGTGTCTGGGCTGAGAGTGTTAAAGTGACTTCCCTGAGTCACCCAGGTGGGAAGCCAGGGAGCTGGCCTGGGAGCCCGTCGGGAGCTCTGGCCTCTGGGCCGCCCGTGGCCTCCACACTCCTGGGCACCTGCTGATACCACAGCAAGCTCTTTCTCCTCTGGAAGGTGTTCTCTTTTCTGCAAGAGGGACTTGAAGGAACACTTCATCTAGATTGTGACTGCAGTTTGCCAAAAAGCATTTTACTTCCCAAGGGGGCATTTCTTTTCTTTCTTAACGTTTCGCATCCCGTCATCACAACATTAATCATTCATTCCCAGTGCCTCGCGTTTTCCCCCCTCAGAACCAGCATAACCAGCAATCCGTGGGTGCGACTGGTGACTGTGATGCTGAGCAGGTGTACAGTGGAGAACAAGGAAGAACTGGGGAATGAGGTCTTGAAAATCTGCCGCTCCTTATATAATACCAAGCAGATGCTCCCTGCAGAGGTGAGTGGATATTTCAAGTGGTTTTCCTGGGGGGCATCCCTTCCCTTATCCAAACTCTTAAGGAGAAGCGGTGTCAGCGACTGTGCCCGAGGCACACTTAGCTTAAGTTATCAGGAAGTGAAGGCCCGCAATTTGGAATAGATCAAATGAAGAACAGCCCTGCCGAGAGGGTGCTTTGAGGTAGTTTTCTCTCTGTTGGAGCTCTGAAGCCTATTCCCTTTACAAGTCCCAGAGTGTAACTCAGCTTTCAGTTCCCGTTGGATGCCCTTTTATGTCTAACTCGAGCTCCTGTGCCCGGGGATCTTGGGAGCCAGCCCGTGTGCTGTCTCTGCCCGAACCGGGCCAGCCGAGAACGGAGCAGTAAGCCCCAGCACCCCTCTTGGCCGGTGGCCAGCCACTCTCTTTGTGACGTGCCTTTTCTGTAAACGTGGGGAAAAGCTCAGCCACCTCCACTTTGACCATCGTTCTCTTTGATCCCATAATTTGGCTGTCACTGAGGTATTTGCTTAATATATATAGATAAATTTGTGCATTCTCAAATAAGCACATATTAATTACAGCTTCCTGCTGTGAATCCGACCTCAGCGTGTATTGTTTGAGCAATTTTGACTTGTCTTAAATGTAAGCATTTGGATAATGGCACTAAATTGATTAATTGGCTTTCAAATTTCTGCCACATAGGAGATAAACTTGAAAATAAAATTGTAAATATGATTTTTCGAATCCTCACTGTAATCACTCAAGGAAAATATTCTCATTAGGAATGTACATTTAATGAATTGTTTTCTGAATGAGGGACTGGCGAAGTGTTTTCTGATTGAATTTTAAAATATTTTATCCATTTAAAGAAGTCTTCCAACCACCAGAATGACAAAATTCTTCTATAAAATATTTAAAGTACCACCACCAGAAATAACTTCCCTTTATACCATGGTGTATGATTCACTTGTATCAGCTACTTATTGACCTGTGATGTATTGTGCTCTATTGTGGGCCCCTGAGGGTTGGAACCATGGCTGTGTCATCCCTCTCTCACCCACGGCATGATTCAACACACTACGTGGAGTGGGGACTCAATGCAGTTTATTATCCCCACCAGGGTGAGTAGTATGTAGATAATGAGGGGTTCATCTTGGCCTTAACAGAAGCTGAGATCAAGCTTTGTTAGATCAGGACCAAATGCCAGAAGGACCCCACCAGTTCTGCTGAACCTAGTTGGGGAAACGTGATTTAGGGTCGCAAGCTGAGTAATGGTGATGACCGGCATCCACTAGCACTCTCGGCCTCCCACTCCCACTATCTGGTTTAACCTTCGCCATCACCCGAAGGAGGTTGCTTGACCTTCATCTTTCAGCTGATGGAACAGAGGCTCTGAGAGCAAAGGTCCTGCTCCAGGTCACTCAGGCAACAGATGGCGGACCTGGTCCCCAAACGGAGGCGCTGCTTAAATGCTGGGAAGATAAATAACTTCCTCAGGAGCCACTCATACTGCACTTGGGGTGTTTGCATATTGACTGTCTGTTTTATGTAGTTGTGTAAGTTTTACTGTTATTTCCCCCCTTTCCTAGGGTACTTCTTCAAGAATGACCTGTAGTCTGTAAGGCCTAGATTATCGTTGTTTTAGGTGGAAGGGTGTTAGGATCTACATCATTACCTGGAGAAGTTTGTTAGTTTATTTAAATATCCTCATCAGTTTGGTTTTACTACAGTTAGTTCTGAGGTGTAAGTTAGCTGAGAACATGGCCGTGGCATCTTTGATCTTGACCACATACTGTTAAGTTTCGTAATCAAGGTTCGGTAACAGTTACCTGTGTTAGCGTTCAGCCACCTGGCGATGGGTGATAATTTCTGAATGTCCAAAGCAGTAATGAGTACTGTCAGCGTTGTATTTGAAGTTTAAGGGGTGACCTTCTAGGACATGGAGGGAAAAGTATGTTGTTGTTTTTTATTGACTAGTGAATAATAAGTGATACTTTGTATTTCCTATTTAAAAAAAAAGGGAGTCAGTGATTAAATGAGAAGCCAAATAGCTGTAAAGATTCAGCTCCCCAATCCGCCTCTACGGCCAGCTTGAGGCACTTTGACAAATGGAGTAATATTTTATTTGCAGTGGCCCTGCTTGATCTCAGAATCATCAGACCGTGATTCCTGAGTGTTTTAGGGAGAACAGAATGGATAGCACAGTGCCTTAAGCACGCGTCTATTAGAGTACTCCTCACACACCACGGAGAGGGATCTCCTTGCTTCTCCTCTTCATTGGGACTGGGAGCACCTGAAGGGCAGGGGACATGAGACGTACCACAGCAGCAGGAGCCCCAGCGAGGCATGAAATTGTGCCGTCCTCTTCCACACGGGGCCGCACATGCTCTGTGTTCATGAGGAAAGCACCAGACGCTCCGGACCTACCCTTTCTGGCCTGTGAAACAAGGAGTTAGATTATGTGATCTCCGGGGGAACTCTAGTTCTGAGTATTCCTCAAGGTTCCCAGGCCTCGGAGGAGGATGACCTGAGGCTATCTGTTTAGGATTCACGACTTTTCCATAGGTCCACAGTTCTCTCAGGGGTGGGAGAAGGGCACTGGATTAAACCCCATTTTGAAGGAGGTCCTTATCACTTCTCTGTTCCAGTTTGGTGAGAAGAGAGGGTAATTATTTTCAAATGAGTTGTGTTGCCACAGTTTCTTTTGTTTATTTTTCCTTATACTGCCTTACTGCTGTCTTTTAACTGGGTACACATACAGATTTTTGTCTTAGGATGCCATGATTAAAGGAATCTTGCCAATGTGTTATGTACTATTTTTATTGATTGTTAACTGTGCTTAAGTGTGAGTTAAAATTGTTACAAAGGAAGGAACATTGTAATTAAGAAATGGAAATGTCTTGTTAAGTTTATTTTACTGCATTTGGAAATTACACAGTCTAATTTCAGAACTGCATAGTGTTTAATATCACTGTGGTGGGAAAATTATCCATGACTCACTTTTTTGTAACCCAATACCTTTGGTTGCCTTACTCTATGGTTTATAAAGTACGTGTGCCTAACTGCCTAGGATAGGGTACTTAAAGGAACTTACGCATTTCCCATACCCCCACTAAGTTCCCATATTTAGAGATTTTTTTGTTCTTCATGGCTCTTGAGAACGTCTTTACGTGATGCCTGCTGTTGTTCCTGGTACTTGTTCACTTCCGGTCATGCTGGTTTTGCTGGTGAAAAATATTACCAGAAGGATAAAATCAATGTTGCTCGTAGGTCCTATGTCCTACAGTCTTGAAAGTTCTGTACCCTTCTTCTTAGCTTGTATCCATGGCAATATATGAAACATTCTCAGGAACAGGGGATATTCAGAATGAGAAATTGGCACAAAACAGATTCTTGGCATTGACAGATTTAAAATTCTAAGTTCTAGCTATTTATGACCGACCCTGAAGGTCCCCGGTTTTATGGAGGCACAGCGTGAACTAGAGTCCCAGGGGCTTTGGATCAGGTGGATGGGAGTTAGATGCCCAGCTGATGAGTGAGCCTAACTAATCTCCAGCCTCTAAATCTCAATGTGATTGTTCCCTCTCATGGTTGAGGTACTTTGATAATGTCTGTGAGTTTGATTTTCAGATCAGATGACACCCATCCCTGTACACTGTGCCCTACACTCCTGCAGGCCCTGCCGCATCTTGGGGCATACGATACCCCAGAATGAGCACAGGAGGGCTGTGTAAGGACAGAAAGACCGTTGGTGGACTGGTCCTGCTTCTCTGACAACCATCAGCCACAGGAACCGTGCCCCAGGGCATCACCATATATCACAGTCCACAGGGTTCTGGCCTGGCTTTGGGCCCAGACACGCCTGTTCCTCTGCATTCAAGGTCTCTTGTTCTGTATCTTGATGGCTAGACAGGTTTGAGCTGGGAAGGTGCCTATGGGGTGTTTTAGGGTTCTCTTTGCTACTTTGACCTTTCTTAGAGCTCTATAAATCTCCTGATAAACTGTCTCCTTGCAACAGAGGGAAAACTACCGAGAGAACCTAGTATAGTAGTTAAATATGGAGTATTTAGCCAATAATTGTTAGCTAAGAGATTAAAAAGTACTCAGTAGCTCAAAAAGTACTCCTCCATTCTTAGATGTCCTTGATTTTATCCTCCAGGTAGTATTTTCCATCAACAAAACCATCCTGGCCATAAGTCAACAAGTACCATGAGCAGCAGCAGGCCTGACATAAAGGCATTCTAAAGAGTCATGAAGGAAAAAAAAAAAAACACCTCTAAATATGAGAACTTAGGCTACAGGAAACAGGGATGAAGGCAAAAGTAAGTCTCTTTGAGTACCCTGTCCTAGACAGTGAGGCAAACATACTTCATCATCATCTGTCCATGTTGCCTGCTCCAAGGGGTATCCAGGTTATTTTGATAAAAGTTATCATCAAAGCTAAGGTCAACCAAGTGCTGTGCTTAGTCTAAATGTCATAAAGTACTGAGAAATACCTGTTTACCTATTACTGATAACTTAGTGAATGAGTAGATATGAGTGCTGAGAGGGAATTACATATAAATATTTTAAGGTATAGTGTATACCAAGCAAGTTTGGAATACAGAGAAGGGAAAATATTCTTGCCCTCAAGTGAGGCAGATGAACAAATGAATAATTACAATAATGCAAGACAACAGTGTAGGAAATACTTATGAAGTATAGTGGGAATATAGGAGTGCTGGGCCTGGGAAATCAGAGGTGGCTTTGTAGGAGTTGGGGTTTTCCTGTGCCCTTTTCCAGCTGAGACTCCAAGAACCAATAGGGGTCCCTCAGACAAAGAAGCAGCGGAGGTTAAGTCTTGTGCACAGACCCAGAGGTGTGCGGGAGCTCAGCATGCCTGCTTTACCTCCAGGATGGTAGCCACGGGCCATGTGTGGTTACTAAAATTTAAACTTAAGGCCAGTTGAATAAAAATTTAAAAGTAGTGCCTCAGTTACACTAGGCAGATCTCAAATGCTCACTAGCCAACATGCGGCTCCTGGCTGCTGTGTGGGACAGCAGAGATCCAGAACATTCCATGGTGGCTGGAAGGCCTCCTGGGCAGCGCTGTCTGAGGAATGTGCAGGTGGGGGGGAGCATTGCTGGGACGTTCCAGGAGGAGGAGGGTGACAGAAGCAAGTTGGTGCGTGACAGCTGTGTGAAATTGTCATGTATGGGCGTTTATATTTCATCCTCCCAAATACTCTCTGCAGGTGTTGGCATCTCAGATTACAAATCTGCATTTCTCTTTGGCCCAGATGCTCGGTGAGACTGCTCTTTATGACTGTGTGCTTTAGGGCACACAGAGCACTTTTCTGAGTTAGAATCCCTGATGTTTGAAGTACATACTTGACAAATCTGTTACCCTGCTGGTATTGATGATTTTCACACAAGTGCATATAGCAGGACCTCCCAATCTGAAACTGAAGGCCTTGCTGATTTCCAGCAGGGATGCGCTAAGGGGAAAGGTAAAAACACTACAGTGAGCGGAATGCCAAAGAGGCCTTTATCCTGGGCTTTAAATAGGAGCTTCTTGTTTTATCTACACTTTATAATACTGTAAAGACATTATGAAAATGTCATAAATTTGAGTTTTTCTTCTCTGATATGCTACTGTTAGAGGAGTTCAAGAGAAAGATCAGTCCCATGGCGGCGGGGGTGGGTAGCAGTTTCTCAGTTCTTTCAAAAATAACTCTTGCCTTGTATAATGAGGTTGCACTCATTGTCTGGTCCTTGGTCCAGATGTTCTGTTCTTTATGTTACAGCTAGTTAGGACACCGGGGGAGCATATAGCTCGGTAGGGAGGAAGAGCTTGCAAATTTATTGTCTATTCTCTTATACTTTTCGTTGTGAAGGATTATCATTTGTTATCTTATATAAAAGTCTGCTCTCTGATGACAGGTTCAGCTAGGGTAATAAAGCTCTGAGAATAAAATTCAAATGCATATGTGGAGATCCAAAAACATTTTCATTTTTCTGGACCACAGATAGTTTTCATGAAACATTCAGTTCACCTTGACATTAGAATTATAAGCAGATTTTTAAATATTTAAGTTGCTGATTTTTCTTGTTTCAGAGGACAACAGGTATTGTTGGTAATATTAACAGTTGGTAATAATTTTTATCATTTGTTAAGTGTCTAACAGATGCTGAGCATTGTGTGTTATTATTCATTAGCACTTATTGTCACACACACACACAAAACTGCAAAGTAGATATAATTACCTCCACTTTGCTGGTGAGGAAACTAGGGCTCTCGAGAGATTAGGAGAATAGACCACAGTCCTGTATCCATCCAGGGGGATACTAGGCAGCCTTTACATGCAATATCTGATGAATATCAGGTAGATATCTGATAGCTCAGAAAGATGTTTACTATCTATTGTGAAATGAATGGAGCAGCTACCAAACACTAAATCGGTGGGGCCCCATCTGTGCTTCGTACACACAGACACACATCACTCATACAAAAAGGTGTGGAAGGAGACCCCACCCGAATAGCGCCTGGGAGTCGGGGTACCTCCTGCTTCTTTGCTCACAGAACTGTACTGTGGTTTCAGGGCGTGAAGGAGCTGTGCTCACTGCTGCTCAACCAGTCCCTGCTGCTCCCGGCCCTGAAACTTCTCCTCGAGAGCCAGGATGAGAGCCTTCACGCTGTGGCCCTGGAGCACATCATGGCTGTTGTCAAGGTATTCCCGGGGGCATGTGCTCTTGCCTATGTTTCTGAGAAATGAATTCACGTTGTCATTCTCGTAAGTAGTATCCATGGTTTATTTCAGACCATTTTGCCTGCAATATTCTCTGACCACAGCAGCTCTTTCTGTTTTGTCTAAGAAGTAAATATTTATTTTATAAACATATACTAAACCCCTCCCATGAACCAGACTCTGTGTTTATGTGCTGAGACTACAAATCCGAATAAGGAAGCAGTTTCTCTAGAGAAGCCAGCCTATTAGTCCCTTTAAGGGTGCGTCAGAGCCGCCCAGCACTAGTGGACTTGTCCTTGCCCCTTGAAATTTGGATCGAAGGAATTTGTCATGTCGGGCAGGCTTCTGTGCCTGGATGTAGGTGTTTGGTTACCTACTAATAAAAGGTGAGACAGTGGCTTCAGGTTATGTTTACTGGCACCATCTGAAACCTCAAGCTCTTACTTCCTCTGGCAAACCAACGTGCCACTGAAGCAGTGTCTTCGCTTGAGGAATGACATACTAACGTCAAGGCCTGAGATTTCTCCCTCAAGGTTGGTTGTCTTGTTACCATGATTAACGAAGAAGCTTTCCCTTCCCTTTTAAAATTTTACACTTTGGGAATAGATAGCTCAGGGTTGTGTTTTAATGAATTTGTGTTGTATGATCCTTGCTGAAACCCTTCTGTAGAGAGATCATTCTTTCATTTGAAGTTTTGTGAGTGTGTGCACACACTATACACACACACACACACACAATTTTAGGTGTGTGGGTATACTCATGCATGTGAGTTTTTAACAAAAATGTAAGGGGATGTTTTCTAGGGACCAGAGAGGGGAGGAGAATTCTAGAGCGGAAGGTACAGACTTGCCAAACAAGACAGTGAAGAGATTTAATGACAACAGATACAGAAAGTTAGGTATACGGTTACAGAATGTAGACCATAATTGCATTTGTATAGTCATAATGAACAAAATGAGTAAAATCTAATGCATTTATTCATTGAGATGTATTTCTGAATTCTGTAAAGATTTGGTGACTACCCTTCATTCACTGAAGATTGATCATAGCAGGGCCTCTCTGGAGACTAGACAGAAGTAGGGAGTGGAGGGTACCTGGGTGCTGGTAGCCCCCCATCCATCTGTGCTAAAATAAACATTGCATAACGTTGGGAATTTACAAGAAGCTGAGAATTACAGTGGACTTTTTTTTTTCCATAGCCTATTTTTTTATTGTAAATCCAAGAAATCAGGACGAAGAGAAAAATAGAAGAAAATCAGACTGCATATTTTCAGTGCTTTTTTTCCTCAGCACCATTGTACACTGTGGTAGTGTCTCTGCTTAGGTATTCCCACTATATTTGCCATGGGCCTCTTCCAGAATAAAACAGTGATGTATTACACATCGCCTTTCCGCATTCATCCTGCATCGAGCTCTCAATGCAGTCCTAAATTCCGTAGGCAAGTGTATCAGTTTTCATTTTAAAGATTCTTCAATTCTCCAATGCCTCTGTCAGAATTGCAGCTAGAACTGGGACTCCCTAAATGCTAACTAGCTCTGCTACCCACCACCCCCGACAGACTGGCCACGCCCCCCACCGTGCCCTCTACACTACCCCACCCCCCACACACACACACACACACACACACACGCTATCAAAATAAGAAACCAAGTGGGAACCTTGCAACCCTGAGTCATTTTGAAATGGTGCTGATTTACCTCTGTGCCACTTTGATCTGATGTGCAGCATTGTGCTAAAACTCTGTGCTTTTGAAATAGCCCTGGAGACTGTGGGTGGTTTGCCTGGGGTTGTGATGGTAACACCCAAATCCTCTGTGGCCTTCAGATGCAAAAATCAAAATAAAAAATCAAAACCAGAGGTGTCGGTTGCTTAGATGAGTCACTTACCTGCCACCGAGACCCTCACCTGTGGGAATTGGGTAATGAGACTTAACTGTAACTTCTCCACACTAGGGTTGAGTATTTCCATTAGGCTGACCCATCTGTGACCTTAAAATGTGTTTACAAAAATGCCAAGTATCTTCAGACCTTATACTTTTGAATGTTATCCCTTCTTTAAAATAGTAAGAAACAGTAGTTTTTAAATCATTTGTGGTATTGAAGTGGAAAATATAATACACTTGCTTTCTTTTCTGTGTGTTTATTTTGCTGTTCCCTCTGTCCCTTAGTAGAGGGCCTGAGTTCACCAGTTCAGAAACTTCAGTTTCCCCCTTACGGTTATGGACGGTAGTTCCTGTTGACATTAAAAGAAAAAGCGTCCGGCACAGGGACTCCTCTGATAGGCAGCTGCTCCTGCACAGCGTGTGGATCGAGGTGGAAAAACGCCCCCACTCGCTCACTGATGGCATGTGTTATTTCACTATTCGTCGTAAGACGCTGACAGCTTTGTGTTTACAGCCACGCGCATGATGCGTAAGTGCTGATGCCCGAGATTGTTCCGGCTTTTCCTCCAGTAGCGATACTCATCTCCTTCTCTGAGCTTTTCCGAAATTGCAGACCCCTAGTGTTGAGCATGTAACCTCTTACAAGTGGCCAGCAGCCTCTTTCCTGAAGAAATAGAAATCATTTCTTAGATTTCTTAGAGATCATGTTGTTGGTGAATAATTAAAACCCTTGCGTGATACAGATCTTCCTCAGCTAACGATGGGGTTACACCCCAATAAATCCATCATAGTTGAGAATATCATAAGTCAAAAATGCATTTAGTACACCTAACCAACTGAACATTGGAGCTGAGCCTTCCCTACCCCGCATGTGCTCCAGACACTTCCATTAACCTACAGCAAAATCACCTAACACAAAAGCCTATTTTATAATAAAGTATCGAATATCTCATGTAGTTTGTTGAACACTGTGCTGAAGGGGAGAAACAGAATATGGGGGGGAGCTCAGTGTATTGGATGTTCACCCTCGTGGCCGAGTGGCTGGCGGGGAGCTGTGGCTGCCGCCCAGCTTCGTGAGACATGATCATCCTGTGTGTTGCTAGTCCAGGAAAAGATCCAAAATCAAAATTCAAAGTGATGTTCCTACTGAATGTGTGTTGCTTGTACACCATTGTAAAGTCAAAAAATCATAAGTCCGAGTTAAGTCGGGCTGTCTGTCCATCAGTCTCAGTGAGATCTGAGCTAGCCTCCAAAACCTTACTCTCTCCGAGAAGGATATTCCTGCTGCTGTGTTCACATCTCACCCCTGGAGTATTTCCTGCAGGGTAAAACTCGTCACTCATTTCACCAGAGTAAGCAGATGTCGATCTTTAATAGTTCTGTAGACTGAAAAATAATTCCGGATTTGAGCTAGGTTCTGCTCTCCACGGCTTGCATCCTTCGCTTTAGTACTGCTCGACGCCTCGACGCGCACCCTCCCTCCCAGGATCTGTCCTGGACCAGCGTGCCTACTGAAAGAATCATTCAAGGGGTCACAGAGGAAGGGTTTAAGACCTTATCACCTACTTAAGCATTTCTCTCTGAAGCTAATAGTAACTACCATCTTTGTCAGGCACTGTTAGTAGGCATATCCTCACTTTCTCTTCTTAATCATCTTGTGGGGAGATCGCATTCTAGTTTCACAGATGAAAACACGGAGACCCAGGGGTCATCCATCTAGTAGGAGCTGGCGTTGAACCTGAAACCCTGGGCCCCCCATTCAGAGCCTTACTCAGTTGTGCCGCTCCTTTAACGTAACGGGGCAGGCTGTCCTACAATGGAAGAGAGTTCTCTCTGCAGAGAAGTGAAATTGCTGCAAGCATCTCGAATCATATTAGCTCTGAAAGAGACTCGGGCAGAGCTAGTCTAACAACTTGCCCACCACAGGGCTTCCTTCTTCAAGCCCACTCAGACACTGGGGGTCGGGAGCTCACCACCTCCCAGGGTGCTCCCTGCCAGTTTTTGATAAACCTCGTGGTAAGAGAGCACCTCCAGATTGATCTTTATCTTGTGTGGTACTTTATCTTGAACACATTGATCTTAGCCTTCCCCGATAGAGTTGCTCAGAATTAGTTGCTTCCGTGGACAGTCCTTCGTGTATTTAGTATTGGCGATTCTCATCTTCTTTCATCTCGCCTTGAAGGCGCAGGAACCTGCCAATGTTACTTACGATGCACCTGTGTCTAGGTCGCAGGGAGAGCCTTCGAGACTCTCAGAAACGCGTCTTTACGTTAACCTTGTTACACAGAACCAAGAAACCTTCCTTTCTTTGTCCCCTCTTTAACTCTATCCAGGTTTCCAACTAGTACCTCCTTAGTGAGAGTCTCTTCCACTCTGGAGGGTTCCCTCAATACTGCCTTCTCACACAGCTCTTAGCTGGATTCCTCTGGTGACAGGCAGCTCACTCCCTGTAGGTTAATCTATTCGATTTCTAGGCTGCATGGATGGTGAACAGCCTGGTACTGGGTGCAGAAGTGAGGAATGGGCAGGATGTCTGTAAAGATGAACATCGTATGTTCAAAGGAATTACAGGGAGATTCACATGTGAAACAATAGCACAAGAAATGAAAGTAGGAAGGAGGTAGGAACAGAGAGGGTGGAACGAGCCAAACTCCCGTGCCCTCGATGCAGCGTTTCCTGTGGTCATAGAGGTGATCAAGCTTGGCGTTTCAATAATTCTCGCCCGTTGCTAAAGCATAAGTTAGATGACTTGTCCTCGTTTTAGTTTCAGAAGAGGTGTACTGTTAAATCCCGTGCAGGGAGAGGGACTGGTGCTTCCGCCAAAGTGCAGTCTCTGAATATCATTCAGATAAACAGAGTACAGAAGAAACCCTGCGGGTGTTCTTCCTACCCACGTATACAGTTGTGCTGCCCTTTTATTGTTCTCCCCTTGTAGTTGGTGTTTAATAACTTTTATTAGTAGCAGTATATATAAAAATGAGACAAATATCCTGTCCTCAAGTAAACAGTGAAATAATATTAAATCTTCTTTAAAGTAATTGGAATGAGGCCCTGCATACATTATGCTCCTGGAATTTCAGCTTACCTCATTACTATAAT